GGTGCACTGGTGCCTGGAGCCGCCCCTGGTCCTTAAACAGCCCTGGGAAAACATCCATCATTTTAAAATTGTCCCAGTCTGTCTTCCTCCATAGCTGCAGGCTTCAATGCAGGTGTCCACTTTTTAAAATTGGAGGGGGTGCAGAGAAGAGCCACCAAAGCGATCTGAGGAGTGGAAAAGAAGAGTCCCGTTGGCTCACCAAAAAGAAAAGCAAGCGGTGACTTGATTATGTCGTAACCCACTGGGCTCTAACGGGCTCTTCAGTCCAGTGGTGAAAGATAGAACAAGAACCAATGGCGGGAAGTTAAAGCCGGACAAATTCCAAATAGAAATAAGGCAGGTTTTTAACGGGGAGGGAGATTGATCAGTGGAACAAACTCCTAACGGAAGAGGTGGATTCTCCAGCTCCTAACGTTTTCAATCCAGACTGGCTGCCTTGCTGGCCGGTGCATTAGCCAAACTCAAGTTCTTGGGCTCAGCAGTAAATGGGTGAAATACACAATGGCTTCTGCTATACAGGTCAGACCAGACAATGTAACGGTCCTTTCTGGCTTTAACCTCTGTGAATTCTACCTCCTGCATTACCCTGGTAAATGATTTCAGCATCTGTCCTGATGCAGGAACCAGAACCATGCCTCAGCCTCTAGGTGAGGCGGTTGCTATGGCTGTGAACAGAGCTGGACGGAGCCCCCGCTCCTTGGGCTGGATAGTTCTTTTCCCTTCCTGCTTCCGTGAGATCCTGAGCTCCCGGGACAGGAATGCCCCGAATTTGAGATTTGCCCAACTGACAGTAGCTGAAGCTTGACACCCCCAGTCTTGTTCTAGATGCAGCGGGACTGGCCTGGCTTGGGCAGAGAGATGCACGGCAGAAGGGTGTTCCCGTCCAATCCAGGCTCCAGGGGCAGAGGCCGGCTGGTTTCCTTCTCTCCCATCTAGTTTTAACCTCCGTGTCAGTGTGGTTCTGTGCACAAGCGAGCCAGCAGAAATGACCCTTTCTAACACCCAGCTGGGCTCCTGCCCATGCGTGCATCAGAGCCAGATCTGCTGCCTAGAGTGACAAACTGCAGAGCCAATGCAGCTACAGGAGAGTGATCTGGAGTCTACTCCTGTCAGTTGCCCCTGTGCATTACGCTTGATAGCAATGGGGCCATGCAGGGGTTAGTGGGAGCATCATGGGGGGGGGGGCAGCACAGGAGTTACTGAGGATAGAATGGTTAGTGATTAGGTTCCTGACACTACAGAGAAGCTTTTAATAAAAATCCGACTTTTATTGTTATTCCTGCCAGGTTTGAAAATCCCCTTTAGCAAAACAACTTCTGGGGCCTAAAATGAGAAGCAACAGGCTCCAGAGAGCAGCAGGAGACAGTCAATGCTAAAGCACAGGGCTGGGGGTCAGGACTCCTGGGAGGGCGGGCGGATCTAGTGTTTAGAGCCGGAGGGAATAGGCTAGCGGACAGGACTCTGGGAGGGCAGTGTGGTCTAGTAGTGAGATTGAGCCAGGACTCCTGGGTGCTATTTCCAGCTCTGAGTGGGGGGTGTGGTGGGGGTCCTAGCAGTGGAGTAATAATTGAGCCTACAAAGTTCCCGCTCTTGGGAGCCTAACTGGGAAAGTGGATAAAAGTTCATAAAGTGTCACAACAACCTATAACAACTAAGGCTGATGGGAAAAGCTGCAAAAGGGAGACAGACAGGCAGAATCAGTCCAAACAAAAAAGCCTCCTGATATCACTCAAGGACTGTGTTACGATCATGCCTGGTAAACAACGGGCGTGTGGGACCAGACGTCAATGAAGTAAAAATTGGTGTGTCAGAAATTAGGCTTTGTTGGGGAACAAAATCCTGAGGGCATGGGCTAGGCCACCTATGTCTCCCTTTGGGGGTCCTTAAAAAAGGGATTTGGGGGGGGGAAATATGGTTGTGGAAGAGGGAGCCAGAGTGCAACAAGTGCTGAGGGGAAGGAGCGAACTTCATCGTCATGGCTGCCACCCCCGCCCGAGATTCACCATGACACGACTGGGCCTTCCTTGTCCTGCTCCTAAGAGATGTCCAGGCCAGAGAGAGCGACCCAGACGACATCGTCACCTGCACTGGCTCCGGCTAAATCCCGACCCCACCTGGGATGTGAGACCATTTCTTCACCTGCCCCCTTCCCCTCCAGGTGTCTTTTCCCTTCCCCATCATCTTCTCTTCCCTCCTTATGCCTTCTGGCTGAACCGGAAAAGACTATATTTTGCAACACTGCTGCGAGTCTGTGACCAGAGGCAGCCTGAAGCAATGTCCTAAACCGCCCAATGCTGGTACAAGTTTGCCAGGTCTCAGAGTGGCTGATCAGTCCCTGCCGTGACTCAGTTTCTCCAGCAGGGAGGTGGCAAGTGAGAGTCAATGCCAGAAGGAGAAGCTGCATCCCTTGCGTCTTCTCTCCACTCTTGCATGTGTTTAATGTGCTTTTCTTTCATGCATTACCTGCTTTTTTTTCTTTTCTGTGTCTTTAATAAAAGGGCAAAGGGGTGTTTAATGGGCTGTTTGCTGTGGGACTAAGCAGGCTGATGTCTCTGGTTACCAAACCCCAAAGCTTAATGTCAAACAGGGGCAGGGTCATGTTAACATCTTTCACTCTTTGGGACCTTCTATTCCATCTAGATTAACACAACAGCTGTGAGCCAGGGACTGAACCAGGACTCAAGGCTCCTAGTCCCAGCTCTGCCACTGACTGGCAGTGGGACCTCGGCCAAGGCCTTTGAATCCTGTGCCTCATTTTCCTCTCCTGGGTGTAGCACATCCCTGCTTGTTGGGCTGGTGTTGGTGAGCAGGCCCTGGGAGATGCCCTGGGAGATGCCCTGGGCGGGTGAAGCAGACACGATAGGCCCAGGCTGCTGGGAAGGGGTGTGAGTTGTTTCATTGTCCTAGCTAGCGATCCATGAAAGCTGCTGCAAATTACCTGTGTTCCACCTTGCAGCCCTTCCCCTCACCCCTGCCGTGTGGGTGGCATCGGGTCACAGCGACCCAGGGTTTGGCTGCATGGCCCAGAACCCAGCACCTCTCCCACCCTGCCTGCGTTACTCATAAATCCACCCACCTCTGGGGCGACCCAAACTCCCCCTTTGGGCAGCTTTTTCCTCCTGGCCTCCATCCGGGGCAGGGACAATGGGGGAGATTGGGACCTCCCACCTCCTGGCGCTCAACAGCTAGGGCAACATGAATGCAACAGGGCTCAGCCTTGCCAGAGGTTCACCCCCTGCTTGCCTGGTTACAGACAGGCAGACGAGTGGAGTTACGCTGGGAGACCAAACCTGGGAGTTTGCGTCCAGCTCTGGGGTAAGGCACATCAACAGTGGACTGGGGGGGGGGTGGTGTTTCACTTTGTTGATAAAGAGCATTTGTCGGTGCCCTACCAGGGGCTGGCATCTTTTTGAGTGGGGGGCGGGGAAGGGGCTAGGATGCAGATCTCCTGGGTTCTATGCCCATTTCTGGGAGGAGAAGGTTGGGATCCAGGACTCTTGGGTTCTATTCCCTTAAAAACAACCGTTGGGAGTCTAATCCCCCCCCTCCCCTGCCCTCCGGTAACCTGACCCTGGGGAGTTGTTATTTTTAAACCTCCCATTGAGCCAGATTATTTGTATTCCAATTATTTTTGACTTCCCTGCAGGGAGCAATGAATCCAGCCAGAGCAAAGGGACCCGATGGCCATGGGTCTCTAAGCCCCAGGAACCCACTGCTTCCTGGACTGGCATAAAAGAGCCAAGATCCCTTTGCATCCTGTGCCCACAACCACCTGGAACCCAGGAGTCCTGGCTCCCAGAACCTCCCCCCCCACCCAAGCCTCTGTGCTGTTCTGCGATCAACGCTGCTGTGAGGTAAAGGTGCCCCCGGCAGCCTGCTCGTGAGTGGAGTTTGCAATGACCCTGTTCCACGGGTGCTGAATGTGAGCGGGGACTGGTCCCCTCCCAACTTTGCGTCTGTCCTGGATCCAGCTGGCACCGGATCAGACTGTGTGGCATCCCAGAAGAGGTATCCCAGGGGCGAGCCAGCCCCTCGGCATGTCAGGGAAGGGTAGGGGTAGATAGAATATGGGGGGGAATGGGGAGGGAAGGGGAATGTTTCTGCATGGAACAAGACTGAAGAGGCACTGGGAGCCAGGACTCCTGGGTTTTATCCCCAGCTCTGGGAGGGGATTGGGGTCTAGTGGTTAGAGCAGGGGGGTTGGGGGCTGGGAGTCCAGATTCCTTGGTTCATTACCCTGCTCTGGAAATGGAGATGGAGTCTAGTGGTTAGAGCAGGGGGCTGGAAATCAGTGGGACCTTGGGCATATCCCTTACCCGCTCTGTGCCTCAGTTTCCCTATCTATAAAATTACAATAAAGGCAAGAGGCTCCTTGCCTGGGGAGTTGGGAGGCAAAATTAATCTCTGCAAAATGCTCTGAGATGCATCAATCATGTAGGTAAACCTTCTCCCCCACCCCACCCCAAACTGGGTAATCGGGGAGAGGGGGAGGGGGAAGGAGTCTGGGAGCAGGCCAGGGGATGGGGATTCCCTGCTAAGTAGGAAGAGGTAGTGGGGAGGATAGTGGGGTCCCATAAAGGTGGAGGTGTCTAAATACAAGGAGGGAAATCTCATTATTGCCCTGTAGCAGCCCCCCGCCCTGTGCCACTTGGGGGGAGCACTCCTGGGGGGTGTCCTTGTTTCACATGCTTCCCCCCGCAATCTGGATTCTTGGGGGGGGGGGGGGAGGATCCCAGGTCTCAGCCAGGGAGAAACACTGACCCACTCGTGTGGGGATGGGGGAGGTACATGCTGCATCCCAGACACACTGTGAATAACCGGGTCCCTGGATGCCCCCCCTTGCCCTGAAGCCCCATGGCCCCTCCCCAACACAGCCCCCTCTGCCCTGGGTCCCAGAGCCCCCCCAGGACTCACTACAGCTTTCTCTTTCTCCCTGCCCAGGACCAGCTCCCCCATCCCCCCATCGGATCGGGGAGTCCTGCACACCGGGACCGCGAGGGATGGCGGCAGCTTGGAGCCCGATCCTGCTGCTGCTGCTGTGGGGCCAGTCCGCAGGTGGGTGCCAGGGGAATGGGGAGGCCAGTCTGGCTCCACTGGGAGATCGATGGGGGGAGAGGGGATGTCATCAAATGGTTAATGTGTGTCCCAGTGTCCTGCTTCCTCTCTAACCTAGACAAGTGGTTTTTAAACCTTTTGTATTGGTGACCCTTTTCACGCAGCAAGCCACCGAGAGTGACCCGCCCCCCCTTATAAATTAAAAAGGTGGGTAATTTAATTGGGGCTGTGAGCTCTGTGGAACTGGCAGCTCACAACCTCCCTGTAACCTGCTGAGGGCTCACGACTCCCAGTTTGAGAACCGCTGCACTAGCCCCCACTCCCCTCCCTGAGCTGGGGATAGAACCCAGGAGTCCTGGCTGCTGTTGTCCATGATGTCCAGCTCCCCCTGGTCCTGTTCATTTCTGGGGGGCAGGAGCTTCCCCTTCCGGGCACAGACCAGCTGCCCCCACTTTAGGCTTCGCACTCCTATGTCTGGCTCCTGCTGACTGGGCCCTTTCTCTCTCCTCTACAGCCGCCTGGCGCTGGGCCCTGTGCCGGCCCAGCCCGCTGTCCACTCGCCACCCTGTGCTGGGCTTCTGGGAGCGGATCCGCGCAGGCTCGGGCTGCGCCAGCCGGGGGCGCTCAGCCTCGGGCCGGGAGGTGCATGTGCTTGTCCTACGGGGGCCAGCGGGGAGGATGGGAGCCAGACAGGTAGGTGGGAGGGGGTGTCCCTGCCCTGTCCTCTTCCAGCCTCACCCTGGGCCCCCCACCTCAGCTCCATTGCCCCCTGCCCCATCCTGTGCCCTCTCCCTGCTCTCTCCCCCAACTCCACCATCTCACCCCCTGCTCTCCATCCTGCCCCCTTCCGTCCGCCCGACCTTCCTGGTCTCTGTCCTCCACCCTGTGCCCCTCAACCTGCCCCTTCCCTCTGCCCCACCCCCTCACTCCCTACCTTCTCCCTTGGCCCTTTCACCCCTCCTCACTCCCTGCCCCCACCCTGCCCCACCCCCCTCACTTCCTGCCCTTCATCTTGTACTCCCACCCTGCCTCCTGCCCCTCCACTCTGTACCCCACAGCCTTGCGCCCTGCCCTGCATCCCACATGCCTCCCTTCCAGTCTGTGCCCCAAACCCCCTCCCCCAGTCCTGTCCCCAGCCCCCAGCTCCATAGTCCTGCTTCCTGTCCCCACCACCTCCCATCCCAACCCCTTGGCCTGCGCCACCACCACGCCCCTTCCCCCAACCCTGCTGCCTCACCCCCTGCCCCCACCACAATGTGCCCCCTCTCCTCTAGCCTCGCCTCCCACTCCCTGGTGCCCCAGCCCCTCAGCCAGCTACATGCCTGCCCTGGGCCCCACAAACGTCCCCGCCCCCACAGCCCCCACACGCGTCCCTGCACCCCCAGCCCCATGCCCTTGGGCCCTCCCCTATGGGCCTGGAGCCCCTAATGCAGGGACCTCTTCTCCCTCCCAGGTGAGCCTAGAACTGGGCCCAGCCCCCCCCTGGCAGAGCCCCCATCTTCGTGCTCAGCTCCCCAGTGCCCGTGGTCTGGAGCCTCCAAACGGCCCAGGTGGCTCTTGGGGAGGAATGGACCTTCCAGGTGAGGGGGGGGCAGCTGTGGGGCTCGGGTGAGGGGGTCTATGGGAGGGGAAGGTGGGAAGGGGGTGTAAGAGGGCTGGGAGGGGAAGGCAGGGACATCGGGGCAGCTGGAGGAGGGTGGGGCAAGCAGTGAGAGTGGAGGAGGTATGGGAGGGTTGGGGCAGGTGGGGAGCAGAGCTGGCGCAGGTGTGTGGGGGAAGTGTGGGGCCAACAATGGGGATTGGAGGAGGGGAGGGCCGTGGTGGATGGGGGGTGGTGGAGGTAGCTGTGGCAGGGGCAGGTGAGCAGTGGGGGTGGTGGAGGGGTGGGAAGGGGGGGCTGGAGGTCACTTCTCTGGACTGGGGCTGGAGCAGGGTCTCTGGATGTGGGGCAGGGGGATGGGGTGCAGAGGGGCAGGGTGGGGGCTGGGGAATTGGGAGCATTTGGAGGAAGAGGAGTTTGGGCCCAGGGGCAGCGAGAGGAGTGGGGTGGGTGGAGAGGGGCTGGATGGGAGAGGGGCTCTCAGGCCGAGGGGCAGTGGGGGTGGGGGCACAGGCGGGGAGGCCGAGGTATTGATGGTTGAAGGATCCTCCCCCCGACAGTTACCCCTGGGGCTAGGAGGTGTGAGGAACCCAGGAGTCCTGTGGGGGCTGGGAGCGATGGGGAGCTGAGGTGGGAGTGGGGGGTATGTGGCACCCCATCGGGGGATGGGATGTCCATTCTCCCGGTGACCCCTCATCCTTATGCCCCCCCCTACAGGTCTCCCTGGGGTCCAGAGTCTCGGCCCTTGGGGGTGTCACTGTCACTGAGACCCGGCTGCCTCAGACCCCCCGAGGGCTCCTGCGCTGGGTGCATGAGGAGCACGGCGGGCTCAGCTCCCTGGCTGCATATCGGGGCATCAACATGGTCTATGTGCAGCTGGGAGACGGTATGGGGGGCTGGGGATTGGACCCCCGTGTCAATGGGGGGAGGGGCTCCA